TTACCAATAAAGGAACTCTCCTTTCGGTTTGGACCCCCTCTCTCTTCTGCTTTTTTATTTATATAAATAAAAAAAAAGCTGGAGAGGGGGGGGGGGGGCAAAAAAATAAAAAAAAAAAAAAAAAAAAAAAACCCCCCCCCCCCCCCAGCGTCGTCCAACGCCAAATGTGGCTAATGAAGCACGCCTCCCTCTCCAAGTCCTCCGCCTACGACCTCGCCCGCCGCGAATTCTACCAACACCGCCACCTCTCCGAAATCCGGTCCCGCATCGCCAAAGAAGAAGCCCTACACGTCGGCGCCTACTTCGGCAAAGGGCCCCTTGAAATCGGAATGGAGCTCGAAGACCGCACGTGGGAGAACTGGAAGGCGTGGGCGGCCAAGCAGATTGAGGACGAGCAGAGTATGCGCGCGCAGATGTTTAGTGGGCAGCAGGATGAGGGGTTGGGTGAGGGGGCTGACATGAGTACGGCGGAGTACGATGAGGCGGTGCAGGAGATTCAGCCCAGTGCGCCGAATGATCCGCAGGGGATGAGGCCTATGGGGGGTGTGGCGGCGCATGCGTAGTGGTGTGGGTTGGGGAGATGTTGTATATTTTGTGTAGATTACGATTACGATCGGGACAATTCAATGGATATGAGACAAGCCCTGTCTGGACAATGGGAACACGTGGGCACGAGGAAGGCATTGATGGCATTGCGATGATGCTGATCATCACCAAGTCTTCGCTACACGCAGCAGTACACAGACTTGACGACCGACAAGTCCAATTTTCTCATGGTATGTCAAAGGTGGCGTGTGTCACCATTCATCGTTCTCTTGAAGACTTCATTTTGGCGAATCTCAGGCAGCACAGTCATGAACCATTACCGATTTTCCTTTTGGACGAACACCAGGAGACAGCATGAGCTGTTGGACGAATAATTTTAAACATGCGGTATCTTTTTCCAGGCTTGAACTACAAAGGAGCAACGTAAAGAAGAAGTTCTATATCCCAACGGCGAAAGCGAGCCGCCAGACATGTCTCTGAGCACTCGTGGTTTCCAGCTGCCAGCCCGGATCTCATTATGTATGTTTCGTTGAATTTTGAGGAGCCGCAAACGCCATGTCAAAGAAGGATTGCATTTTGATCACTCCGAAGAGACGAACATAGGCCAGAAGCTGCCGATTTTTGGAAAATGCACTCTGCCGAGTGGGATATAGAAAGGAAAGGTTTCGGAGGACAGGAGGAGTATTTCATACCCCAAGGCTCTGGGCGGGAACAGACATTCACAACACACAAGGGCTTTTTGATATTATACACCGGAGTGGATCTCTTCCGCCTGCTTATCGTCTATAGGCCTTACTTTTCGGAACAATTGTTTACTGAGTTTGGATAGAAGGCAAGACCCAGAAAGAGATATTTAGTTGTCAGACGGTATTTTTGAAATGTGGTTGTCCGATGGATTGGCTTTTGTGCCGATAAGAATGTTTGGTTTGGCTTAAACATGTGTAGGAGACGGCATGTTTTTGGAGGAAGAGGCGAACAACACAACGAACATGTTGAGTGCCTATTGTTGGTTTTTGGAAATGGGAAGTGTAATGAAGGAGTAAGAGCCGGAATGTCGTGGTATTTATACCCGTTGCGAGCAGGCTTAGCAGAGCGGAACATGTTGACCTTTACATCGGCTTTCGGAGATATGAACGGCTTTCTTAAGCAATTTGACTCCTCGGTGATCCACAGCGACACATACACCTTCATACTCGAGGGTTTGGTCTCAACATGAACAACCTTCCATTCTTTTTTCGACATCAGATCTTCTTCAGTAGGAATTTTAGCGGTCGTCTCTTCCACATCCAAATAGATTCTCAACCTCTTTGGTAGCTCGCAGCCATTACCAACATCGGTCTATACTTTTCGAAAGCCCGGAGAAGAAAGACATGCGATGTCTTCGCTGGTTTTTTGAGTATTTTCGCACAAGAAATAGAAGTTGTGGAGGAGACAAGTGACGAAGAGTTGGTGTTATTTATATGCCAGCAAACCCGGCATGCAGAGCTTGTTGATGTTTTTTTTTTGGACTCCATGTAGCGAGGCACTTAGTGTTTTGACGCAAAATGCTGGAGGCCAGGACGCTCATGCTGCATCTTGTATCTGGTTTTTGTTCCGAAGAAGCCGGGAACTCCATGATAGATGAGGATTTGGGATTTTGGGTCAAAGAGTCGATTAGAAACTTGCACGAGCGTTCTGATTGCACAGGCAAACATGCCGTTTCGGTTGATGTATTTGAAGTCGACGCCAGGCAGCACATAACAACATCTTCTCGTATGTTTTGAAAAGGTGAAGTTTTAAGGTACTGGATAAGAGGCAAGGAGTGACGCCGCAAGGAAGACTTTTTATACTTCAATAATAAGGCGTTATATCGCGTCCATGGTAGAGCCGCCATTCTGGTTTCCATCGACCTTCCTTTTTCACAGAAGCATCGGTTGCGATCGCGTTGGCTTTTGGATATTGGCGGCGATCTCACTTTGGCCAGACTCACATAGTCGTCCGTGTTGAAGGTTTTGGAAGTTTGGATCGTTTGGTACACTCGAAGGACAGCTTCCATGTTCCCTTGACCTGAGCTTTTAGAAAGAAGGACAAGACTCAGACATGAGAACATGGCATACCATTTTAGTTGACCGGCGTGGAAATATTTGATGGAGAGAGAACGAAGCAATCGTAGGTTGAATGATTTATATACACCGGAATAGACGCACAGAGCCTGCTGTCATGACACTGCTATCTTCGCAATTTGGGAAGAAGTGATATCGCTGTCGAAGTATTGGCACAGATCAAGAGCTTCGTAGTACATGGTTGAAGGTCGCAAGGCGGGAGCTCATGCGTTCCCTCCGATGACTTTTTAGAATGGCGACCTAAGAAGCATGCATGAACGCAGTGTTCGGAAATTCTTGGAGTTGCAACACATGCTTCGTAATCCTATCGGTTTTTGGAATTGTTCAAGCCAGACGCCATACATCCGATGCCCCAAATTTTTGAATGAGGTAGAATAGGGTGTAGATTGAGGAGGAAAGGTTGCTGACCACAGGAGGTCTTTATATGCGCCAAGACCTTCGTAGTATATAGCTGAAGATCGTAAGGTGAAGATTACATGCCATGGTCGAAGGAACATTTTGGAGTTTCGTTCCCACGAACATATCGAAGTATAGTGTTGAAGTTTTGGAAGCTGTGACACATGCCAAGTACCCATATTGTTTTGGAATTTTCGAGGCCAGAAGATCATTAGTGTAGTTTTGCTCCGTTTTGGAATAAAGTACGGTAAGATGTGGATAGAAGGAAGGAAGAAGGCTCAGGAGAAACAGGCCTTTATATGCGTGACAAGACGCTAGCACTACACTCCTGGGTAGTGGGGCGCATTAAAGCGCGACGACACTCCGTTGGCTTCCAAGGTCGACATCGCTTACCTCCATATCCTTTTGAGCGAGCGGTCGCGGTCCCAGTGTTTGCGAAAAAGATCTTCCGCCGCTTTATGGTTCCCATTCTCTCATCGATGCAACATGATGTCTCGGTGTCGTGCTCATGCGTCGGCGCTGACAACGCCATAGTACGTCGTAGCTAAGCTGTCGACGAGTCTTGGACTGAATCTTGTGCGTCAACCAATGGCATCTGATGACGATTAGCGCAGGATGTACGCCGGTCCCGCGGTTGGCCTGAAAGAGCGCCTGACGTCAGAGCGAATCCAAACAGCTTCACACTGGAAAAGAATAACCTACCACCCTTCTCATCCGCCACCATCCCTTCATCCCCAGCAACAACCCTCCACAACACCACCCCCACCTCCCAAAAAATGCCACCCACCCCCAACCCTCCTCTCCCCAAATCACCCACAACATTCCTCCACCTCCCCCGCGAACTCCGCGACAAGATCTACACGCACGCCCTGTCCATCTCCACCCCCATCGACATCGGTTCTATCTTCCCCTCTCCCGGCTACTGGCACGAGCCCTCTCCCAATCCCCTCAAACCACCTACGCCAGCCCTCCTCCTCTCCAACAAACAAATCTCGTCCGAAGCCGGCTCGACCCTCTACGGCACCAACACCTTCAACTTCCCGCATCCAGGCCAACTCCCCTTGTTCGAACAACAAATCGGTGCGGAGAATTGCGCGCGGGTGAGGAGTGTGGAGATTTGGGTTCGGTATCCGGGGCCGGATGAGGTGGTGTTTGATAGTGGGGAATTAGGGTTGGGGGAGTATGATAGTGTGCCTGAGCATTGGATGCATGTTTTGGGGGAGAGTGGGATGACGGGGGTAAGGAGGTTAGTTGTTGAAGCGGTGATGATTGGGTGTGAGCCTGATAAGGTGGTTTCTGTGCTGCCTATGCCGGATGAGTTGAGGGATTGCTTTGTTGAGTTTCTGAGCAGAGGAGGGGATGGAGGGGGAGGTGGGGTGCCGCGGCTGGAGTTGAAGGGGATAGGGGAGGAGGAGAGGGGGAAGTTTCCGGAGGGGTGGGATGTTGTGGTTAGTTAGTGGGATTAGCATAGGGAAGGAGAAGAAGAAGAGGGGGATGGGGACTAAACAATAACATTACTATTAGCACGACTACTTTATATATTGCTCTCGCTATTACGATGCCGCTCAAATCTTGCCAAGACCAGCGCCCTTCTTCACGATCTTCTCGACATCCTTCAGCTTAGTAAGCTTGTACTTGTACGGAGCCTTGGTGAAGTTGCCAACTTGAGTAATATTGACAGTCGCCTTTCCAAAGTCGTTCTTCGCACCAAGGTTCGCGAAGCCATCAATCTCAAAGTCGCCATCGGGACTGGTGTTGGGGCTATCCTCCGGGATAACCAATCCATATGTGCTGAGAGCCTCGCGTGTCTTGCCCTTGAAGACGTTGCCTTCAACAAGAACCTGGTTGTCGCTGCGGGAGTGGATGGCTTGGTACAGGAAGTCGACGTAGAGATTGTTGTAGATGTGTTGGTGGCCGAAACGACCGGCAGGGCCACGTGTGCCCTCGTTGCGCCAGTAGTTGTGGTGGTAGGTGACGTGGAGGTGACCTTGGTCGACATCCCTGAGCGCATCGCTGTTGCCAACGAGAGAGCTCTTCCAGTGGTCGTGGAAGTAGTTCCATGAGACTGTAATCCAATCCGCGGCGCGGATGATGTCTACTTGGCCGTCGTACGCATCAGGGCCCAGAGCAGGGAAGTTGCCAGTGGTGAACTCGTTGTGGTCGATCCATACACGGGTGCTGTTACGAATCGTCATGCAGTCGTCGTCAATCGCTGTGAAACCGAAGTTGCGAATGATGACATTGGTCTTGTTGAAGATGTTAAGACCCGAGCCAGTGATTTGAGCTCCCTTGCCCATTCCGATGAGAGACTTGTTCGACCCTACTTGGACTCTTGATGTGAGGTTGAAGTTGCCCTTGGCGTAAATGACTGTTGGCTCGCTGCCGTTCACAGCTTTGATGAACTCGGCGACCGTCCGAACAGTGACGCTCTTGCCATTCTTGCCAGTACCACCAGTGGTTGGTCCAATTGGGTTGTCCTTGGCGAAACCGACGAGGCTAAAGTCAGCCCCTGCAGGAGC